AAGAATTCTCCACTACCTTGCAGCTAATTAACAACATTGAAGTCCCTAGATGTATTTTATTACCGGATAGAATCAAGATTGAATTACATGGTTTCTGTGATGCTCAGAGGCCGCCTATGGAGCAGTTATCTACTGTAAAGCACATCAGCAAAAACCATACATCAGTGAGGTTGGTGCAGAAATCGCCTTCCCCCTAAAGAAGACTGCAATCCCAAGACTTGAGCTTTGCGCAACATGCTATTAGCTAAACTGATGCATCGAGTGAAATCATCGTTAAAATTGGAGCTTACTGCTATCCACCTTTGGACCGATTCTATGATTGTGCTGTCATGGATCAACGAGCCACACTCTCAAGACATTTTTCACAAACCGATTTCAAGATACAGATCTGACTGAAATTAGCACATGGCATCATATCGCTTCTGAGAAAACCCATCTATCTCATATCTAGAGGTATGTCTGCCAAAAAACTCAACTAGTCAACTGTGGTGGAACGGGCCTGACTTCTTAATGAAGGATAGTACCCTATAAGAGTTATACCTGAAGCAATTACTGAAAAGGACGAACTTAAAAACTTTGCTGTCTGAACTATCTATATGTTTAAATCTGAATGTGAATAATTTTATTAATGATTTATTGAATTGCAGTAATAAGTATTTAAATTACTTCGTATTATAAGTTTTTTGTTTTAGTTTTACAGAATTGTAAGCAAGCAAAGCAGGTAGGTAATTACAAGGGAGAATTGAGAGCAGCTGAAAAACTTTATAAAATTAGTAGGGTGAGTATTTTATAAATGAGATAATGATCTTAAAAATCAGGTATTTTCCAAAATAGTTCTATTAAAAGTCTTAACCCTTTCATTGACGTAAGGACTGTTGAGAGTTGGAGAAAGATTAAAAATAGCAATTTAACTTATGAGAAAAACCTATTATTCTGCCTTCTAAACATAAATTAAAGAATTAATAGTTAATTCTATCATTTAAAATTTTGCATGTGGGTCCTCATCTTGTTATATCATATAAGACAAAAATTTTGGATGTAAGTGGTAAATTTTTAAAAATTGTAAAAATTGTATAATATGTTTTAAAGCTAATCCCATTGTAGCTCAGCAATCATGGTGATTTACCCAAGGAAAGAATCACAGCTATCTTACTTTCAATTGTACTGGAGTTGACCTCTGTGGACCATTCTTAATTAAGTACAAACCAGAGAAAGGTATATATCAGAAGTTTATGTTGTATATTTCATTTGTATGGTTACTAAGGCCATTCATTTAGAGCTGATAACAGACCTAACATCTGAAGCATTAATAGCTACCTTGAAACGTTTCTTTGCACGAAGAGGTAAAAGTTAACACTATTAGTGATAATGCTACGAATTTTGTAGGTGCAAATGCAGAATTAAAGAGGTTAACAAACTAGTGAACGAACAAGATGAGCTTTAGCTGGTTATTTGAGTTCTGAGAATATCGAATGGAAATTTCTCCCTCCCAGAGCACCTAATTTTGGAGGCCTTTGGGAAGCTGGAGTTAAATCTTTTAAGTACCACTTCAAACGTGTCGTATGTAATGCAAAATTGACATTTGAACAATTTTAACAATTATGATTCAGATTGAAGGAATTTTAAATTCCCGACCATTGACACCCTTGTCTTCGGATATTGATGATTTAGAGGTTCTAACACCTGGGCATTTTTTAATTGGTAGAGCAATTAATTTGATCCCTGAGCCAGATATCACGGAAGTTAACATTAACAGGTTAAAATTGTGGCAACAGATCACAAGATTAGTACAAATTATCTGGAAAAAATGGAACTCCAATTATTTAAGTCATTTACAAAATCGATCTAAATGGCAAAGTTCTAAAACCAATATGAGACATGGTCTTAATTAAAGATAATTTGCCTTGTTGTAATTGGGCGGTTGGTCGTATAATAGAAGTATTTTATGGTAAAGATGGAAAGGTTCGCTTGTGTAATGTAAAAACTCAAACTGGAACTTTCAAACGACCAATTACCAAATTATGTGTCTTACCAATACAAAATGAGTATTGTCTTTATAGTTATTGTACAGTATTGAATGTGTTTTCACATAAAATGTCATTATGTAACTGAAATGTTATATTGTATTGCTTTGAGTTGTACGCTAATGTATGGTAAATGTCTAATTATAATAATGATTTTTATGTAATAGTACTTATTCAAAATTGTTTATGATATACTTGTTTAATTTTTTTATGCTATATCTTAATACAATAGTTGAATGCTAAGCATTGCAACGCGGGGCGGTATGTTCGCGCCTGCGCATCTGTAATATGCGCATCTGTATGCATGCATCTGATGATGATCTAACGAGTTTGAGAATCGCCATCGACGGTGTAAGAGGGCTGGTCACAGCTATGAGTTAATTGTAATTAATTATGAGAATTAATAAAGAATCGAACCAGCGAATTTATTTAGTGTGTGTTATTTGGGACGAGACCCAAACATCATGCTTAATCCTTTCTGGAATTTTTTCGAGGAAATAAGTGTTTAAGATTTACTTCGTAACTTTTAATACAGATATTTTGAGTTTTTATGTATTTTTGCCTTGTCGCGAAGTGAGAACTGAATTAATTGAATGAGAAATACTAAATCGTCTGTGAAAAACTGTTTCTTTTCTGTTTTGTTTGCTTAATTTCTTTCATACATCATTCTAGCTTTATTATAGTATTTGAATAGAACATGTGGCAACGATAAGATAATTCTTCAAATGATATAAATTTTGTGCATTCAGAGTGTCGTTATAGTAAACAAATATAGTGAATTTTAAAGTGCATTTATTCTATTGTGGTTTATGTGATATCGACGAAGTAGATTTAATTCAATCCAATCAATTTAAATGAAATTCAAGAAAAAAATGCGTATAATTTAATATTCCGTACAAGGAAGTCATGTGGTGTCCACATCAGATTTTTTAATTACTATATCCAAATCCTGAGTGGAAAAAATTTTTTTATTGCTAGAATTTCCACCTCTTTTTCCTCTGGAAGTTTTTGTACTAAAATGTCTAAATTGACCATAAATGGAATCTTCTGCTTATCTGTTAGCAAATATTATTCAAAAAATACAAAACAGGTTCAGGCAAGTTTATATCTCACAGATAAACGGGGACGTCTGGTGCCAGCAGACCTGCTAATTCTAGCTCCAATAGCATATATTAAAGTTGTTGCAGTTAAAAAGCTCATAGTTTGATCTCAGTTTCAGACAAGTGGTCCGCCTACCGGTGGTTACTGCCTGTTCTGAACAGCCAGCCGGTTTCCTTTGATGATCTTCACCGGTTGTCTTGGGTGACCGGCAAGTTTACTTTGAAAAAATTAGAGTGCTCAAAGCAGGCGTGACGCCTGAATAATGGTGCATGGAATAATGGAATAGGACCTCGGTTCTATTTTGTTGGTTTTCGGAATACGAGGTAATGATTAAGAGGGACAGACGGGGGCATTCGTATTGCGACGCTAGAGGTGAAATTCTTGAACTGTTGCAAGATGAACTACTGTGAAAGCATTTCCCAAGATGTTTCCATTAATCAAAAATAAAAGTTAGAGGTTTGATGGCAATCAGATAATCTGGTAGTCACCCGACTACACGGTACAATAAAGACAACATCCGACTCTAAATTCTGTGAATTCATTTGGGTCAGAACTACATTCGTATCCAAAATTATCTGTCACTTTTCTCGAAACCCTAGATTAACATTCTTGTTCACACCTGCAGTGAATACAACCTACCCTCTTTGCAGAATTATTTACTCCCTGCCGCATTTTCCACACGTACATATTTGATGTTGTATCTATTGCTGTGACGTGCAACAAAACCAGTACATTGAGGAAATGTTTTGAATAATTATTTTGACATATTTTTAGGAAATGAATTATAATTACTAATTATCATATATTCCAGCACATAACACACATCCGCAGCTGGCTGCGTTCTTCATCAACCCATGAGCTGAGTGATCCACTGTTCAGGTTTGTCATTATTGTTTATATCAATCTTCGAGGGGTTCCATTTGTATTCAAAATATATGAAAGATAACTTCCCCTATCGGGAAAGCCCAGGGTGATTCGATTCACGGGAAGACCCCTAGAAGTTGATTGAAGTAGGGAGCTCCCCGTAGATCTTCCTTCAAAGGGTCTCACCGGGATAACGCACCTGCGAAGCGATCCACCATCTAAGGCAAACATTTTATCTAAATCTACAGTTAATACCACATAAAAAATCAAAATGCTTTTAATTTTTGCTCATGGCAAAAATTTGGAGACACATATAAAAAGCTGAGAGATGTAGAGGTCAGGATTATAAAAATATAATGCTGAAATGGTTCACCATTCAAAGAAGTCGTAATCTGCCAACAGTTGAACAAATGCTTCAGACAAAGGCCAATGAATTTGCCAGACACTTTGAAGATATTGGGTAAGAATGAATAACAGATTTAATAACTATACTAATAATTTCAATTAAATCTTAATGTTATTTTTTAATCAGATTTATTATTTTTACTTATTTACATCAGGTTACTCAAATATGGCAAAGCACAAAAGGGTTGTCTGCCTAAGGGAAGGGATACCTTCATGAATGACTTTTTTCAGGAAATTGGCTCATATTCATGTTACAAATGGAAAAAACCAACCATGCAGCCATCCTGTTTACCTAGGTTCAAAACCAGGTTGAACTACCTATATTCAGTGGTCTGAACCACTCGGCCAAAGGAGGAAACCTTTGACAATATTAATAATTTATTTCTTTATTCATCATTTAACTGTTATATGTGAGATAATCTGTTATATGTCAGATAAGATATAATGAACCAAGCTTCAGGTCCTTGATGTTCATTATAGTGGGATTAGACTGCACAAAGGAAAAAAATTCTAAGATTTCAAGAACATTCAATAGCAAGTTCAACTTCTAATTTTATGATGTAAGGAAAATAAATATCTTATGTATAAAAAATATGTTAAACATACCTGGTCAGCAGATAACAAGCCAAGTTCCAAATCATAAATGAAAGATACTTGGGCAGCTTTGAATTCCAGACGAAGTACTAACTTTTCAGGTAACTGATGTAAAGTAAGTGTGGAGGTCTTAACTCTAAGGCCTTCTTCTAAAGTTTCTTTCACATTTTTTATTATTACACTTGTTTTCATCTCTGCATATGGATTCAATTTCTGGAAGATACTACAAATTAATATAATCCAATGTCTTATATGATAAATATCTTACATTTTTAATTGAAGTAACAGACTTTCCATTAACATATAAATTTACTACTTGAACTCGTATGTCAATAATCTAAAACTTTTTTTCATCAATAACTATGGATGAAATGTGGATGGATGATCAAGTTGAATTTCACATACATATATTAGAAAAGGGTCTCTTTCCACATTTTGTCTCTAAATGTAACTATAACTGGGTTCCAAGCTACCTCTATTCATAGAACACAGGTGGCCCACTACCTGCATGTACCCCACATAACTTACCAGTAGACTGCAAGTACAGTGATTAAAATTTATTGTTTCTGATATGAGCATTCGCAGTATGCTCATATGTTCTTTTAGAACATACACTGCATCATACATTACTAAATGGAATATCTACAGTGAAAGGAAGGAATGAACTTCCTTTGATTTTAAATACTGAGTTTAGCAGCTTTCAGGAATTAGAGCAACAGTGATAATTATATATATATTTGCTAAACTGAATGGATTTAGCAGAACTGTCTGTATCCACATTTGGACACATGTGAATATGGCATTATGAAGCCACTAAAACTGATACAAAATAACCTGACTGACAGCTACCTTCAAATCTCAAATATCATCATCACTGAATACTAAAATTTTTACTCCCATTGAACACTAACAGTGTTTCTAATTATATCATTAGATATTAAAGCTAGTTAAACACTAGCTAAACAAAACTCAATGTTATACCAGTGGAGATAACGCACATCGGCCCTTGTTATGTATTCAGACCCCTCTAGAGCCTGTTCTACTTACTGAATTTTAATGAAATTTTGTTATATAAGTTATGAGACCATGAGGAAATGATTTCTGTAATAAAAAATAGTTCAAATTTTGACTACCAGGAGGAACTGTTGTGCCTAAAGAAGGACAAAAAAAATCTGTCAGAATCATTAAAATTTATTCAGTTACAGAATGTGCTCAATGTGTGCTCCACTGACATCAATTACGAGGTGAAAGCACATTACAGCGTGTTCAATGGCAGCGGGAAGTAACTCTAGAGGGATTTCAGCAAGATGACGTATAATGCTGGCTTTCAACTCAGGTAAGTTCTAACTTCTCCTCCAGAAACGCAGTCTTTTAGGAATTCCCACAGCCAAACGAGAAGGCCAGGCATTCAGAAAAGCTCTACATAGCCAAAGTTAGCATGAAACAGTTCTTTGACTTGGCTCCCAATGTGGAAGTTGCTCCATCTTACATGAAGACAGTGGTCGGCAAACATTTCCATTCCCTTAAAGCAGGAATAACTTGCTGTCAAACGAGTTCACTGTAAACCGTTCACTCAAGACAGAGCATGTTTTAGGACCTTGAGGAGTGAGAGTTTCAAAGGAAAATGTCGCAAGGATAAAATCAGCAGTAAATCCACACCATGCAGTCACATAATGAGAATGCAGTGGTTGTTGGTGCAGGACATTAGGACGTGAAGCACCACATATGCGGATATTTTGATTATTCACAGTTCCATTTAAAGAAAAGAGCGCCTTATCTGAGCACAGAATTTTCCAAGGCCATGCGTCATCACTATCCTTTCTCGCCAAAAATCAGCAAGCAAATTCAGAGAATATTTGGTAGTCTTGAGGTTGCAGCATTTGCAATAAGTGGATCTTATATGGATACCATTTCAAAATGGATTGCAGAATTTTTTGTACTGTCAACCAAGGAATCTTTCTTTTTCTTCTAACAGACAAGTTTTGTAGTTGTTCGCTGTTCAAGTCCGTAATTGCTGTGCGAGAATAGACTAACTTGTCAATCGAAATTTTTTCGTTCACGACCTCTCTATCACTTCTTATGCCTTTATCCATTTTGTTGATGGACATCGAAACATGCTTTTGCTTTGTAGATCCTTGGCAGCCAGAATCGGAAACTCTTTTTTGCAAATCGAAAGTTTAAGCTTACTTTTTATAAATGCTAACAGTTTCAAAAGAATAAGCCGGATCCATTTCGAAGATTAAGGAACAACACAATCTACAACGTTAACTGAAATAGATAATTAGATAATTTTAGCCTAGCTTATACCGTCCGTTATACATTAAACGCGCATGCGTAAACGTATTATGTGCATGCGTAAACGCATATGCGCATGCGTAAAGGTATTATGCGCATGTGCAAAGTATTATGAGCATGTGTAAACGCTACGCATGCACAGAAAGTTTGTAGCTTTGAGGTCCGGATTATAGATCATTCCAGATTATGGACGTCCAGATTAAAGACTTTGTACTGTACTCAGAAAAATGACCACCAAATTTCAAAGGTGCATATTCACATGCAGCAATACCTGGATTGCCCCATATATACTTTTTGGTGTACTGCCTCGTCAATACTAATCATCACTTTTAGTGGGTGTGCAGATAATCACTAAGTACTATTTAATCATTAGCCAGATTCCTTTATGTAGGTTTCTACAAAAATATTAAACAATCAAATAACATCTCTATAAATAATAATCTGTTGGCAAACTTGCATGTGGTTCTGAGAATTTCATGTGAAGTCAAAATCAAGGATACTCATGTGCTAAAGCAACCACCTTGGCATAATTTTACAAAAGTAAGAGTTATTTATCAGACACAAGTTGGTGATTTAGACAATTTAAAAAAAAAATTCAAGAGATTTAAAAAGCTCTATATTTATCAAAAGTTAACATATCAAGAGAAAACACTTCAGAAATTTAAAATACAAATGTTTATCATTAAATAAAGGTTACATGATATATGAAAAAATAAAACACATTTTTCAGGAAATCCCTCTGTAATTTTCTTTTCATATTCTTTTTTCCACATACTCAGTAATCAGTTTTTACTTAAAAAAAAAAAAAAAAAAAAAAAAGGCAGTGTGCATAGCCTTAACAATATCTACCAAACGTATACGTTTGTATACGTTTGATCGTTTGTATACGTTTGATATCTACCAAACGTAGATATCTGGTATATATTGTTGTTTATTATTTATATTGAAGATATACTGGTTGTATATCTTCTGTCTGTATTGATGATAATCATCAATGCAGACAGAAGATTCAATCTTATTTGGAATGAAATCCATACGCATGCAACACTGTAATACAAGACAGTTTAAGTCATAAAATATCACAATTTGCCTGTAAAAACAATTGGTACTTGAAACACAACAAAAAGAACAGATACAAAAATGATAGCGTTGCTTGATTCCCAGCATATGACACATTTTGAAAATTTGGCAACTTCTTCTACGGTGACTTAGATAATACGCAAGTACCAAATCAGTCAGCTGGACTGTTTATCAACTTTACATTTTGTATATATTCTTAGAATTTTAGGAAAACTTTCATACATTCATAACATTTTACAGAAACATCTTGAGAAAGATTACATGTTTTAAAGATAATCCAAATCCTTACATATACGCATTATATTATTTTTTTCCTTATTATACAACCGACTTTTAGAGCTAAATGATAAATAGCATAAAAAGAGTTTTTACAGTAATAATATGTAATGTCCTCTCCATCTACTATTGTATAATTAAACCATTTAATAAATATAAATAATTCAATAAACTTAACCATAATATATCAGAGTGAGTCAGATAATAAGTTTTCCCTGTAGTTTTACCTAGGAAACCAAACAACAATGGCGGAAACAAGACAATTGTAGAATGTGAAAGACACACATACATCACTGGGTATCACTCGACCATAATCAAGCGGATAGCTCTGTTGCAGTTCCTGCACAAAGGGGAGACGAGTCTCTCCTCTCAGTCTGGTTGTGGTAGGTATGGAAAGAATGCGAGTTTTGAATTTGTGATCAAAGGAGGAAGTGAGAGTGGTTGTCTTCAATGAATGGACATGTGGAGTATCAGGAGCAAAAATCCATAACCAAATCATGAAAGTCTATGAGCCAGATGTGATGTTGAAACAAATGGTGCTGTGAATTGAGGGGCGTCAGCAAGGTCGAGACTTGGATGAACATGCACGGCCCCACTACAGACAAAAATGTCAGGATGGTGGATGACATGATTAAAGTGAACCAGCATATCACCATAGATGAAGTAGTGGGAAAACTTAAGAATCAGACATTCGCTGGCTCACAAGATCATCCACGACATTCTTCGATACCAGAAAGTGTCAGCATGATGGATGCCTGACAAACGACCCCGAACCACATGGAACAATGCATGACAGTCAGCCTGAAACATCTCGTACGTTACCATCGTGATGGCAATGAAGTTCTGTCTTGGACTATGATGGGGGATGATACGTGGGTCCACTATTTCATGCCCGAATCAAAGACGGCATCTATGGAGCAGAAACATGTCTGTCTGGAAGTTCAAAACAACTCCCTCTGCAGGTAAAGTGCTCTTTACAGCTTTCTGGGATGCCCAAGGAAATTTGTTGCTGGACTTTTTCGAGGTTGGAATCATGAATGTAAGTGGTACTGTCACACCATGTCGAAACTCAAGGATGCTATTCAGTAAAGTAGCCTGGCCTTCTATTGTTAGATGGCAATCGAAACCACACTTGGTGAAAAAAATGCAAAACCATAATGAAATTCTTAGAAGCCCCTTGACCATCTGCCGTACAGTCCTGATCTCGACCCAGTGACTTCTATCCTTGACTATCTGCCATACAGTCCTGATCTCGACCCAGTGACTTCTATCTGTTTCCGGCTTTGTAAAAATAATGCTGAAGTCACACAAGCCATTCAATGCTTCTTACATATGCAGAACCCTGATTTGTTGTGGAGAGCTTTTTTGAAGCTTATAAAGCAGTATGACAAATGTCTCATCCTACTAGCTAATTATGTAAAAAACAAAGTTACATCTTACCTTTAATGTCTCATATTTTTTGGGTTTCATTTACACCTCCGTCCGCAGTCATTAGGGGAAACTTATTTTCGGACTCTCCCTTGTACTTTTGTATAAAAATACTACCAATCTGAGGCACTCCCTCCTTAATTCTACATTTTACATGGCATATGTTTATTTTTTTATGGCACAGGTGCATTTATTTTTCCCTCCGCCCTCAGCAAAAAGTAAATCCCATGAAAAACTGATGCCCCCAAACCCCCAAAGGAAATGCACCAAAGAAAATCTTGATTAAGATCACCTGAAATTCTAACCTGAAGCTAGGACCAATCAGAATTCCCCTTCTTAAACTTTGTTGATCTTTAAAATATATATATATGGTATGCCATTTTGATGCCCTAAACATATATACATAATTTATAACTTAGAATCAGACCAGATAAAAGCCTACTTATTTAAAAAATCAGCACTTTAGACAAATGAATTTTCTGCTTTTGATGGAGAAGGAGGAACCCAAATTTTTATATCAAGAAGTCATACTACTGTTTATATCCTAATAAGAATATATGTATACATTATTCACTACCAACACCTAATTAAAAGTAGATTTGATTAAAATTTATTATCTTAATAATAAAACTAAAAGGTTTTAAACTGCAGTACAGAAGATACCTGCTTGAAAATCCTTGATAGAATTCCAGGATGAAAATGATACAAAAGAAGATAAGCTATTAAGCAGAATTTGAAAACTATCTATCACTTAAAATAATATAACTACTTTTATAATTTAGATATGATGATTGCAATGATGATATGCAATGTTGATATGCAATGATGGAAGCAGAAATTCTCATGAAAAGACAAAATATTTATGTACATTTCAATAAATAAATAAAAATTTACATATGTTAAATTGATGCATGTTATGAATGAATGGAATATATTTACCTTTCACTATATCCACCCTTTAGTAAGTCTCGACTAGAGACAATTTATTGAGGCAAATTTCAGCATTAACTTTTCTTGTAATATAATGCATACTTGGCAGTAATTCAATGCAATACATACGAGTTTAAAAAAAAAAAAAAAAAAAAAAAAAAAAAAAAAAACATATATTTAAGGGCGAGTCAAATGAAAGTGAGCCAACCCCTCCTCAACAAGAATGGTTCGGTCCATCATCTGCGGCGCATGCGCGTAGCGAAAGTGTGAGGTTAAAGTTCTTTAAGGCGCTCTTACACTGGGTTGAAGACGGTAGCGTGACATAACTGATGCTCCAAAAGAGGAACAGCTTGGTGTGGTCAGGTTTTTGACAGCTGAAGGTGTTTCCCAACATGAAATTAGTCACCGTATGACTGCTGTGTACGGTGAACATTGCATCACATTGGCCACTGTGAAGCATCGGAGCAAACGGTTCAGAGAAGGACGTGAAAGTTGCAAAGACGATCCAAGACCGGGCCAAAGCCACCTTGCAATCACCCCCGACACAATTGCACAGGTTGATGAGCTGATTAGACAAGAACGGAGGATAAGCATCGATGAACTGGCAGAGCGTGTGAACATCAGTCACGGTTCGGTTCACACCATAATTCATGATCATCTCGGTTATCGGCTTTTGTGTGCTCAATGGACGCCCAAAATTTTGAACGACCGCCAGAAGACGGAGAGGTTCGGCGCTGCTTTGACTCATCTCATCCGGTATCACAATGAGGGTGACAACTTCTTGTCTGCAATTGTGACCGGAGACGAATCATGGTGCCACCACTACAAACCTGAAACACGCCAGCAAAGCTTACAGTGGAAACGTTTGAATTCACCACCCCCGAAGAAAGCAAAGGCTGTCATTTCCTCGGGAAAGGTGCTATTGACTTTTTTTCCGATCGTCAGGGGCCATTACGGATTGAATTTGCTAAACGTGGAGAGACTATCAATAGTTCGCGATGTTGTGCAACTCTGGATCGGCTGCGTGTCGCAATGAAGAACAAACGACCTGGAAGATTGACGAAGGGTGTGATCTTGCTACACGACAATGCTCGTCCCCACGTCGCTGATGTGGTTAAGACACAACTGGCAAAGTTCATGTGGGACACGCTGCAACATCCTCCATACAGCCCAGATTTGTCGCCATGCGACTTTCACATTTTCGGGAAACTGAAAAAAACATCTCAAGGGTACCGGATTCGTGTCGGACGCCGCCGTGAAGGAGTCGGTTAAAGACTTTTTGAATCGACAGCCCAAGGAGTTTTATGAGACGGGGATCATGCGGCTCATTTGTCAATGGGATAAATGTCTCAATGTTCATGGAGACTACCTTTAAATAAAGTACTCTGTTTGTCATATATTCGCATTGGCTCACTTTCATTTGACTCGCCCTTGTAATTCAAATAATTCTATATAATCACAAATAATTAAATTTATACTTTATACTTAAGTATTCTCATAGCATATGAATGTCAATATTTTTTAATTTAATGAAAAGTTGATAATATACACTGCTGTATAATACCACAATTGTAATTTATAATTCAATTATGAATATTCACATGTCTTTTACATGCAGTCTTCCAAATTTAAATCAATCCATACTCAAATTTTTAGAAAGATCCTAATTTTATAGCTATTAAAAATATCATACAATAAATCAAATTCAACAGAATATTAGGTATAATTACACAGAATCTTTCTTGAACTTCTGACTCCCTTATTCGCTCTCCATATAGATGAGTTAGATCAGACATCAAAACACTATAACCCACATCAGAAAATTTGCACTTTACAATGAAAGAAGTATCAGGCACTTCAACCCAATCAACAGTACTGAGATCGTCTAATTCGTCTGACATTTCTATAAAATATCAATGATAAGTGTATTACAATCACAAAGTATAAGATTATTTAAATGGCCCTTTGTTTTAAAAAAATATAAAACCATAAATTTATATAATATTCAAAAAATTATTACATTATGTTCCATAATATATATTACTATTAACATAAGATAAAAACCCAAATAGCTCCTATAATAAAGATGAATAATGTAAATGTAAAATATACATTTAATTCAGTTTAAGAAACTGCAAATTTAATAAGCCCAGTTTGTAACAACATACTTCAAACATTTTAACAGTTTGGCTGTAGTATGAAATAAAAATTACAGCAGATTCATTATGTAGTTATTTTCAACACCATACATGAACCACAATTCTGGATACTGATACATTTATAATTTTTATACAGTAGGGAGACAAAAATTCCATCAACCTAAAATGTATCAAAACTTGAAATTTGTAAAGAATGTAGATGTAAATAAATGATAAAATTCACAGTTAAAAAGATTGCAAAACCTTTGAATTAAAATCTTCTTTTAAGTGTGCCTTGAGAAATGTGTAGCCAACTTGTGGACCATATTAACTTTTTATTGAAACAGAATATCACAGTGCTGAATTTTCTACATTTAAGGTCCAGTTAAGACTAAAGCTAAAAAACTGCTTTTTTATGCAAAAGAAATAAAAAATTCGACAAATGGGGTAATACATTTAGAAGAGTTTAAAAGCACTTATCAAAAGATAACATTCCTATTGTGTAAAGATTTCATTACACCACATGAATATTATATGGAATACAGTTAGAAAGCTTGGGAAATGCTGAATGTCAGAAACAAAAATTTTGGATAGTAATACAGTTAAATACCGAAAATACGCGTTGCGTCTCAAAAGTTTTTAGGTTCCGGAAACTGCAACACTGAGTATGAAATATCGAAGAAAAAATGCTTACCGAATAATAATGAGTCATAATGGAAATGCCAAATTATTGACATCATGATAAAAGTTTTTTCCCCTCTAATCAAGGTAAAAGAACAGATGATTCACTCTTCTTTCAAGTTCACGATTCACATTGTTGTATTTTCTGAGCTTTGTTATTTCACGAGATTATTTAGTGCTGCCTTTTTTTTATTCATATATTTTGTGGATAAATTAAGAATATTTTAAATTTCAGTCCTTTTTAATACAATGACAGATAAGGAATGCATGCATGATTTTACTGCTTGCAACGTTGAACGTTTCATTGACGGTAATGCAAAAAGTGCAAATTCTGCAAAAGATGGAGACAGGTGTTACTCCTCTGTTTATAGCAGAATCGCATGGAATTGCGATACAATTGTGCATAATACACGGAAAAACAAAGAAAAGCTATTGAAATTTTACAGAAACAGTGCAACCCGAACTCTAACAACGGAAATCTTTGCATGAGGTGAAATTGGCAAACCTCTGTGTATATATAATACAATGAATAATATAATCAATTTATATATGTAATAATAATTTAATGCATGCAATAAGTTATTGCAATAATGTATATAAAAATTTAGGCTGATCTTTGGAATATGGTAACTGGTAGTTTGGCGACATTTTGCAGGCGATAAAGGTTACTACCTAGGACTTTGGTAATAATGTGAGAAGTACTCAGTTCCGATTACACATTATTTTGTGTGAGGGAAATGAGAGATCATGAGATATGTGATGTGACATTAATGGACGAATTACAGTTCTTTAATCGGAAAAGAGGGGGGGGATTTGAAAAACTGTAGTACTATATTATTTTGTATTAAGTGTCATTTTAATTTAATGATCGTGATTTTGTGAGTTATATGTTTGTAGTATTTTGGAATACGTTTGAGTAGAATACGTTGAGCATTTTCGTGAAATTTTTCTAATTTATGAGAAAAAAGCAGTGTACATAGATATAGTGAAGAGTGTGCGCAATGCCATTTTTGTGCAATTCTGGGATGTTTTTTTAAGTAAAAATAAGTCGACGTGTACATGGTTTAGTGATATTTTAATTAAATGATAGTTATTTTGTGAATTTTATGTTTGTAGGAATTTGGTATACATTTCAGTTGAAGTAAATGTGCATGGAAGTAATTTAAATATTTGACACTAAGTATTTGTAACCATTTGTAATGTTTGCGGTATAAATTCGTTGGTGACATTTATAATATAATAGATAATTTAGAGGTAAAAGTTTTTGGATATTTTATTTATTTTATAAATGTAAGGAGTAAATAAATTAATATGATATCATATACGTGGAAATGTTCATCTTTGAAAAGGGTATTGCAAGCTGAAGGTATAAAAGCTTGCATAGTATATACTTTTTGCGATCAGGTAATTTCATATATGTTCTTTTTACCGGATTTAAAGATTCACAAAATTTTCATGCATTTTTGTGAAATTTTTCTAATTTATGAGAAAAAAGCAGTGTACATAGATATAGTGAAGAGTGTGTGCAATGTCATTTTTGTGCAATTCTGGGATGTTTTTTTAAGTAAAAATAAGTCGATGTGTACATGGTTTAGTGATATTTTAATTAAATGATAGTTATTTTGTGAATTTTATGTTTGTAGGAATTTGGTATACATTTCAGTTGAAGTAAACGTGTATGGAAATAATTTAAATATTTGACACTAAGTATTTGTAATGTTTGCGGTATGAATTCGTTGGTGATGTTTATAATATAATAGATAATTTAGAGGTAAAAGTTTTTGGATATTTTATTTATTTTATACGTGGAAATGTTCATCCTTGGAAAGGGTATATACTTTTTCGCGATCAGGTAATTTCATATATGTGCTTTTTACCGAATTTAAAGATTCACAGAATTTTTTTGCATTTTCGTGCAAATTTTTGTAATTTATGAGAAAATAGCAGTGTAGATGGATAAAGTTAAGAGTGTGTGCAATGCCATTTTTATGCAATCCTGGAATGTTTTTTTAAGTAAAAATAAGTTGACGTGTAAATGGTTTATGTGTATGTGCTATTCTGAAAAACGCGCAAGGAGTTTGCGATTGTGCACTTTTTCCCAATTTTGCAGTTAATATTTGTCATGATTAAGCAGTTTTGTTACATAAAATTTCTAGTATAAGTGTAATTCGGCTAGTAGATTGTTGGAAAAAGTGTTCAGTAAATAAAAAGAAAAGAAACATGTCTTTACTTCGTGAAGACAAAATGGCGGCAAAAAAAAAAAAAAAAAAATAGAGGGTTGCTATAGCAGAGTTTGTCGCCAAAAAATCACCAAGTTACCATAATCCAAAGATCAACCAAAATTTACTTAAATGTATCTAATATGCCTCATTTATTTTGCACTTTTAGTCTGAATATTATGATTTATCTTTTCTGTCCTGAAATCTGCTAAATCCTAAAATCCGCACAACCTCCGGTCCCAAGCTTTGCGGATTTCTGGACTTCTACTGTATAGCTAATGCAGTTCATGGTATAAAAGTCAAATATTCAGAAGAGGAAATTCTGCCTTAAAATTATAAAAAAAAAAGTACCTTATTCATTAGCAAACTGAATATCAAAAACCTACATTTAAATTATGAAATTTTTTTAAAAAAAGCATTTCACACATAAAAGCTAATGTATTCATATGCAAGCAAGACATAATCTTATCTGATTAAAAAATTTCACTGATCATGAAAACTGGTAGCTATTCTGACAAATTAGCACCAGTTATTTCTGCAGAAGTTTGAAGAAACAGATCACTCATCTTTAGTATTAAATAATGAATAATTTGGTATTTTCTGTTAAGGGGAGTGAATTCAGAAATGTATGTGTGTATACATACTCATACATAGTGTTACGGATTTGGTATTTAAATAGCTAATGTTAGTAGACTTGTAAATTAAATGGTTTTATTTCCCACACAGTGCAGCGCATGACGAATATTAAAAGAAAGCTAAGCCAGAAAATTGAAAACACAAGAGTGCGTGCATTTTAAACATTTAATAAATATCTCTTTCTGGTTTCGAGAAAGTACTAGAAAATTATCTCGCGCGATTTTAAAATCTTATAAAATGAGGAAAACCTCTCAGTTCGGACTAGTTACTTAGTTTGTTGTTTGTTTAGAAAACTGCTCTTGTTGACTGTAGTGAATTTGCGGATTAGCTTTCTTTAGCTGTTTTGAATTAAGTTCTGTTGAACGTTTAAGTAGTTAGAAGATAATTATTGTGATATATTGTGATACTGCATGATTATTTGAGGACATTTAATCATATTTGTTGCGATAATAATAAATTTTCTTCATTTTTTCATTGGACTTGTGCATTCATTTCGTAACGAACCCGTACGCACACAACAATTTTTGGTGTCAGGATTGGGGTTTGAATGCCAATAACAAGAGCAATGGAAGAGCAATTAAGGCAATTGATAACAGCCTTTGCCTCAATTAAAGAAGGAATGAAAGAAGAAATGAAATCTAATCAGGAAAAGATTAAAGCGGGACAGGAAAAAATGAAAGCGGGACAAGAATCTGTTAAGGAAGAGATGAAGGCCATTCAAGCTGGTCAATTAGTGTTTAAAGACAAAATAAAAGTTGTTAAGGAATCTGTTAAAGAGGAAATAAAAGTTGTTAAGGAATCTGTTAAAGAAGAAATAAAAGCCTTACAAGTAAAGATTGAAGAAATTCAATACGAAATAAAAAGAGAATTTGCATGCATAATAGAAACCAAATTCGAGGCTATGGAAGGCAGAATACATGTGGTTGAAATTAAGTTGGGCATATTGAAGAAAAAGTTTCTTCCGTAAAAGTTCAAATTGAAGAAAGAGTTTCTTCGGTGAAAGAAAGAATAGAAGAAAGTTTCTTCTGTAAAAGAACATATAGAAAAGCGAGTTTCTGCCGTCGAGCAACAAACTGATGATAGAATTGATACAAATCATTATCAAATACATCAATAATTTTTAATCATAGAATTGATACAAATCATATCAATTTATCAATTTGTTTATCAACAAATTGATTGATTCAGCCGTTGCAAAAGAAGTCGATACTTTAAAGAAATTCGTAGCG